TTGCTTTGTTTCTGAAAAGACAACTTTTTGTTGTCCCTTTTGCTGTAAGGATAGCTTCTCCACACAAGTTTTGTGGCAAACCTGAACTTATAAGAAATGTAGCAATCATTTCCTCCACGGTTATTTTTTTTTTCATTCTGCAATTCCATTAGATTGAGGTGAATAGGGAAGTAGTTTGATGGATAAATCCACTTTCTAAACATATTTCTGCAAAAGGAGATTTATATTCTCCATCCCTATCACTTCTTATCTTTTTCCCAACTGTTTTTCAACTTCAATATTATATTGTCTAGACATTTCTATTGCTTCATCCTTACCATTCAGCAAATAGACATAGTTCGTTTCTAATGCAATTGTCAATGAAAGTTATGAGATACATTTTCCTCCTACGAGATGGTGTTGACTTCATATCACAAATGTCAGTGTAAATCAACTCTAAGGGATTAGAATTCCTTTCAACAGATTTATAAGAATGCTCAGCACACTTAGATTCCACACAAACTTGACATTTTTATTTATTGCACTCAAAGTTAGACAAAACTTCTAAGTTTGATCTAATTTTTCCTTTACAAGGTTTTTGTAATTTGACATGCCCCAAGTGTTCATGTCACAAACAGTTTGACTCAAGCAAGTAAAAACTAATAAAAATATTGAGTTTGAAAAGCTCTCAACGAGGTAGCTTTTTCTCACAAATATTTTGTTCCTCTTTCTTACAATTTTTGTGTGATACAAACACTGTTTAGAGTCATCACCTTGTCACATGTCCTTTTCGGAAGGACCTTTCCATAACTTTCAATTTGATTGTTATAGAACTACCCATGAACAAAGTTTCATTGGGTCCAATAAAAGCAATATAGTCCAAATACTTCTTTTACAAAGCATGACAAATGACTATTCACCAATATTCATGTCTATACAAATAGTTATATTTAATAGGCATATCTTTTCATGAAAAAATCACAACATTTTAAGTGACACTTTTTTCATAAAAGAACTCAATCATTTTGAACAAGTATACATATAATTTGGTAGTTTCATACTAGTCATACCATATACTAGTAAACGAGAAACTCAACGACCACAATATCAAATATACTCCAAGAATTTTGTGGGTCTAACATAATACAAAAGTATCATCGAATTTCATATCTTGTGCTCCAAATTTAAATTAGAGACTAAGTCTAATTTTATCTTTGGCATAAGCAAAGAACCCCCCACATTTTAAATATGATCTCAAAAATATTTTTCAAGTATTTAAAAATAGTTTTTCCACATATTTTTTTTCCCTCATTCTATCAAAGTGTCATTGGCAACATGAAACCACTTTTGAAAATATTACTCTATAAAAGAATTATAGTGCTTCAATTCCATTTGACAATTTTTACACAATGTCAAAGTTCATTCCATAGAGGCACAAAATCACAAACTCTAAGTCACTGGTATTTTTCATCCATCACAAATAGACATACCACTTAGTATTTAAATTACTAACAATAAATACAAAAAAAAAATTGTACAATTTGTTTCTATATAACAGCGAAGTTTATAGAAAATCAAAAGTACAACACTGACTTATTATGTGAAGTTTTCATATTCTTCAAACCAATTGCATAGTCTAATTTATCCAGAGTAGAAAACTACAAAAGTTTTTAGTCTACAAAAATCAAACACAATCAAACTTCACATGGAGTACAAAACTACAGAAGTTTTTTTTTTCCAGTCTCCAAGCAGAATTGAACATATTCATAGATTATCACATAGATATGCTTTTCTTTTCAAATAGCCTTCCAACTATAACATTTTGACATACTATTTTATCAAACAAAAATGTGCATCTCTCATTCTGCACACTGAAGAATTTTAAAGGCAACACTTTTTGTCAAGGAAAATTCATGCAAAAAAACATATGGTTTGCAGATCTTTTTCCAAAGATATACATGATAAATATCAAAACTGTTAACTTTTAAAAACTATTCTCCTCCTTAGCTAAATAATAAGAAGGTTACCTGGTGTAATCTTTAATTGAAATACCACAAATTCTTCTAGTACATTCTCACTTCGACCTTGCTAAACAAAACACCGAATTTTGAAGAAGTAATGCATTAATCTTCTACTTCCATGATCTCTTTCTCTCTAATCAGTAGAATACAAGAAATACCAACAATATAATAATTTCTTTAAGATTGTTGTTCATCTTGTATTCCTAAGATACTTAGAACAAAAACTTTGAAGAACTTGATTAGAAACAACAAAGTTTAAAGAACATTTTCAAAACTAGAAAATTAACACCAGTAGAGAAAATAGAACCAGAAATAGATTAGAAACAATATACAAAATATTTTTCTTAAAGAAGAAAATCGAGCCCACTGAATGCACAGTGTCCCCTTAAGGAAATTATTCCACTCAAGTACCCAAGGTTAGTGGAATATATCCTCCCAGGATAGAATGATCTTACTCACCGGTGTATAGGTACCTAAAACCACGGTGTCAGCGAACCACTCAACGGCAGTAAAGTACACTTAGAATACTAGATTTGATAGTAGTAGTAGTAGTAGTAGAAGAAGTCCAGAAAAATTCGTTCAACTTAAATGAGAGGAAATCCCTCAATTTATAGAAAATAAAGGGTAGTGTGAAAAGGTTCTTATTGTGCCTTACCGGAAAGATCACAAACCTTTGGAAAAGTCACAATCTTTCGGAAAGGTCACAACTTTTCATAAAAGTCGCAACTTTTCATAAAAGTCACAACTCTTCATAAAAGTCGCAACTCTTCATTTTCCATTCACACCTTTTAAAACCCAACAATCCCCCGCATGAATGGGGAATGACTCCAAGACAAAGAAACGGACAAGTATGTGTACTTTACAAGCAAGAATTAATTGCATCTGGATAAGTAGGTTTCCCCTTGGACTTTCGGTAGTGAACATATGTCGGATATACTTGGTCAATCGTTTGATGTGATATCTTCGAACCGTCGAACTTTGATGTATACCTAGACAACCATATGTCACACAGTTAACCCTTTACCATTTATGATTCTTACGGTTGTGTTCGTTTCAGCCATGAACAACTCCTGGTTTCTTGAGTGTATAGAGAGATGGGCTTTTGACCATCATCCTCTTTGAAGTGGCTTACACTTCACACTCACATATGTGCTTTCTAACCGTCTTATCGCTTAGATACACTATTTGGTCAAATCTACCAAACTTAGCGAATCATTAAAAACTTTAAGCTTTATTAAACTCATTAACAAGCCTTAATGTTTTAACCTCATTCCTGAACATTGTCTTCATCATGAGAATGGATTGAGTTGCTTGACAATGTCGAATCGTGAGTCACAACTTTGTTTTTCTCTTTGAATCTAACTCTTGGGATCTCCAGTCTGCTAGATAGAGTTACCGCCATGATGACTTGTCCTAAGCCGTAAACCCATTCCCTTAGATGATCTTTCAACTTTTTCTCTAGTTAGGCCTTTTTGTAAGTGGATCCGACACATTATCCTTTGACTTTACATAGTCAATTGTGATAATTCCACTAGAGAGTAGTTGTTTTCTAACGGTATTAGGTTCTTATTGTGCCTTACCGGAAAGGTCACAAACCTTTGGAAAAGTCACAATCTTTTGGAAAGGTCACAACCTTTCATAAAAGTCGCAACTTTTCATAAAAGTCACAACTCTTCATAAAAGTCGCAACTCTTCATTTTCCATTCACACCTTTTAAAACCCAACAGTTTTTCTCTTTGTATTATTTAGGCTCGAGTCATTTGAACCTAAGTTGATTCTCTCTTAAATTTTCTAATAAATTGGTTTACACCCGTATTTTAATAAAAAAATATATTAACTTACCAATTTAAATATAATTAAAAATATCAAGCAAAATAAATTTAAAAATTATTCCATAAATTAAATCATTACATATGAAAATTCACCACAAAAATAAATAAATATAAGAACTATATTGGTAAATATGTATATATGGCAAGGATAATTTGGTCTTGAAAAAAATAATTTTATGCATCTACTTCTGCTTATTTTAAGAATAAAAACTTTATAGCTTCTTCCAAACCACATAAAAATATTTCTGCTTTCAATTAAATGTAGTTTTACTTGTTAGCCAACTACCCTAATTTTTTTGAAAATGTGTTTTTTTGTCATAGTATGTATTTTTGACCTCCCTACAATAATGTCAAGCAAGTTTTACATCTCTTTATCTACTTTCCTAGATATATTGTCATTCTTTTAGTTTAGTTTTACAATATTAAATTAAAAAATGTATTTACGTGTCAATCCCTCCTTTCAAATAGTCATGTTCAAAAGATAATTAAGACTAATTTAAATAAGTAAAGTAATAAATGATGCCTAATTTAGAGAATCTTTGGATATTGTGCCTAAAATTACTCCCCATTTTTTATGTCATTCCTTTCTATAAATAGTTGTACCACAATATTTGTCATTTTATAAAATTTATGCATAAATTACCATATTTTACCTATTATACCCTTGATAGAGTAGTTAATTAATCTTGAAAATATATTCATCATTTATTATAAAGTTGTCTTAAGAAAATATTAAATAAGGGTAAAAGGGTAAAGTTATATCATTTCTTAATGCAAGTACAAAATAAAAATATGACATATAAAATGGAACGAAGGGAGTAATATTTTCTTGAGACAAAAGAAAAAGTAACATTTGGCAGCTAACAGCCATGAAACAAGACGTATCAACACTTTGTGAAAAGCAGTAAAAAAGAGCGTAGCCTTGTTGCGCGTACATTAAATTGAACTTTAAAATGTGGTAAACAGTGACAGGCCTAGAGTTTTAAGGTTATGAATATTCTGAAAGTAGCAGAGTCAAAAATAAATTAAAAAAATGTTAGAAGTAAGATTCGAACATTAAAAGAACCTTAAGCATCCACCAAGAATCATTAAATCAATCATATCATTTTTTTACTGAATTCTCTATATTAATTTTATATAAATACCTTTATTTATATTAGATACGGAATTAATGGCTGCTCAGGCATCCTCAAAGTGGGTCCGGCACAGCTGGTGAAGTGTGTTAGTGCCACATGCCCACATCCTACACCTGCCATAACACACAGATTGACACAATCAGCCTAAGTAGTTAGGCACAACTTACTTTATACAAGCTGATGATGCAATCGTGTCATCTTGGTTTATTCGGTGAGAACTGGCTTTCTTTGTTCTCTTCTCTTCTTGCTATGTTTCGTTTTGTTGAAATACAAAGTTTGGACCAAAAAGTGTCTGAATTTGGAGCAAATCGTTTCATGAATCATGATGGCTAAGTATTCTGTTCTGGTGGAGCGAAACTGATAATTACATATACTCATACAGGGCAAGTCAGTAGTTGGAAGAGGAGATGATGTTGAGGATTGCAAAGCCTAAAGTCTCTCTCAGAATCTTAACACATCCAGTATGTTTTAACTACCGATTTCATTCACATCATATTTCCATTTGTCTTGTTAATAAAAGAATTCATCCCCCTGTTTTATTCTTTGTTATTTTCCTCCAACTTGTGCAGATTTTTGGGGCACCTACTTTAACTCGGAGAAGTTATTCATCTGGGGTTAAAGTTAAACAGGTACGCTTGTATTTTCCTAATTATGCAGGGAGCTTGGTCTCTTGTAAATCAGAGACGGAGCCAGAATTAAGTGTCTGAGGTTCTAAATAAATTTTAGGATATAAGAGAAAAATATTGCAAAACATGCTCCTTTGAAAAAAGGAAAGAAAAAGATTTTAACCCATCACTAGTATGGAAGGCATTTCCACCGTCCCTTACTTATCACTAAACTGTCAATTTTGTTAATATAATATATATAGGAAAAATCCTTTTGGCCAGAAAATTTGGCCATAATTTGGCCATAATGGCCCAAATACATGTTCACACTATAAACTGATTTATTTTTTGACAACTATACCCTTCTTTGTCAAATTTATATTTTTCTTATTAATTTATTCATTAATTATGCTTCAATAATTGAAAAAGTTTTCCAATACATTGTAAATTGACTAATTTTTAAATTTCTCTAACTTCCATACATACATGGCTTTTAATTTCTTTTAGAAATATTGTGAAATGGTCAAAGGCCAATACATATGTAGTTTTTTTTTTCTTCCTTAATTTTCTGATAAAAAAAATCTATAAAGAATACAAAATTTAAATTGATAATTAGAATACAAAATTTAAAATTTAGAATATAAAATTTAAAATTTACATTACAAAATAAACTTACTCATAAAATTAAATTCAAAATAATTTTAACTCAAACTCATTTTCTTGTAAAGTCTATCATAGATGTGTCGATCTTTTCACAACTACAA